GCGTTAGGTAGGTGGGCATCGGGGCTAGGTGTAGGCATTATGGTGGTCGTTGGGAGGCGTCGCCGAACGGAACGCTGAATCACCCAGCGAGAGTTTTCCTGTCAGCGGCAGTACGGCCGCCGCCATCCGACGAAGCCCCGTGGAATTGCCTCGTACGGCCACGAAATGAATGCGCGAACGCCCATTAGGGGAATAAATCAGGCCAACGTTATCCGCAGCGTCGCATAATCGATCTCGCGCGGCTCCGCTAATCCGGGCCTAATCGTTCGTCCATCGTCAGATCGTTAGAAAAGTTCCTCTTAACGATGCTCGTTAGGGAGGACCGAGCTTCTGCATTCATGGCGAAAGGCTTCCGATATGGGGCAACGTGGACGTTGAGAACTAGGGGATGATCTAGCAGGAGCTTTGTGGTATATGGAAGGGTGGGATCTTTCTGTGAGCGGTAGTTGACCAACTGACTCTGGATTTTTTCTTTTTTTTTCTTTGTGCAGATTTAAAGTCGCATCATTAGCGGCTAGGTACTTGTATGGTACTTATATTTTGTACTATAGATTTATGTCCATCAAGTATTGAAATGTTCTCTTCAGGCTTTGGAATGTCAGTAATAATTCCATGGAATCACTCAAAGTGCATTCATATTGAATATATTGAGCTATGACAGGTTAGTCTTTTTGGTTAGGTATTTATGAGTTATTTTGTTATGTCCTTAATCGAGCCAGTATAATCATTCTTTTTTTTTTCGCTAAAAGGAATTTCTTGATAGAAGTCATTTACTACGTCGTGGATCTTCCTTCAATTTGATAGTCCTTGATTCATCCTCGACGGTTTTACACAATGTATAAGTTCTTAATATGGGACAGGAGTCTGTGAGGATCGACATTTCATTCGATCACTTGTCGAAAGTAGTATATTTTTAACATTTTTATTCTTCTTCGATTCGAAGAAAATTGCCGAGGACAGCGAGAGTCAATTGACGAATTAAAACGCCAATTAGCTTGATACGTGGTATAGAAACGAACGACACGAATCCAGAGTGGTCGATTTGATAATTTAATAAACAGAGAAAGGTTTTTCCGGTCGAACGAAACGGGAGGGAAAACGTTCGAACACAGATGGGACGAAACATTGCGCAATACTCGATAATTACCTAAATCGTGAGTAATCTTTCAAATGGGTATCGGCAAACAGTTTATTAATATCGTTCGAGGGTGATCGTATACGTTAACGGGCGCATTAAATAGATATCCAGCTTTAATTCGTGAAATCGATCCTCCTTGCCCCGTCTCTGAGAGTTCGGTGGCTTTACGTCCGTCGTGTAGCAGGGATAAATTCGAGGGTGCGGCGAGTCGCGAAAATGTTTGGTTAGCATTCGGCTTATTGGCCGGCGAATGTTCGTGCTCTGTTAGGCATGTATGGATGGCCCCCAGGTTATAATAAAGCTAATTCTGCGGTGCTCTTGAGGCAGCTCGTGCCGCAACATGTTTTGCCTCCGCCATCCCGCCCCAACCCGTCACCACCACCGCCGCCGCCGCTCTTCCCTTTCTGCCTCCTTTTGCCGTTTCACCGATATCCAACCCTCTCTGTTTCCTCTCCTCTCCTCTTCTCTCCTCTCCGCCACGTTTTCTTCCACGCGCTCCAACAACCGAATATATTTATACGCCCCCTCGGAGGGGTAGCACACGTCCGTTTATTAAAACGTTTCCACCCAGAAGAGCAACCGCACACGAGTTTCCCTCCGCCCCTCCCCGCTTTTATTTCTCTCCTCCTTTTTTTTTCTCCAGCTTTCACGTACCACGCGGCTTTCACCGTTCTTTTCATTGTCCCGAAAAGAGAAGAGCACCGGCGAACGCGGGCCGTCAGCACGTGCGCCGTTGGTCGAGTGGTTCGAGTATCCGCGCCAGCGTTTCGCTATCCGGCGAAATGAACCGGAGAGCCGTATTTAATTTAATTAGAACGGAGAGAGGATGTTTTGGAATCAACGTCGACGGTAAGCGCAGCACGGTTGCATTAACAGGGCGCGATGGCCACGCGAAATTTCTCCCTTTGTACTCGTTTCTGCAGTCGTTCGCCTCTCCTCTCGTTCCTCCCTTGCGACGTGGGTAAGATCACAGTGAGAGAGAGAGAGAGAGAGAGAGAGAGGGGTTGGGTAAATCGTGAGACGAAGCGAAGAAAGCGAAGAACCTATCTCCGAGGAGGTTAAGTTTAGAAAAAGTTAGTCGCGCGAAGAAGTTTGAAGCAGGTGTCTGAATCCTCTCTCGAGAAGTTAGCCATCACTCGTAACACGCTCTTGTACGTATACATACGTATCTCCGATCGGAGAGTCAAATTGTTCCGCATACTTGCGGTGTATGGGAGAGCCAAGTACAGAGTGGCACGGGCATTTGCCGCGCGAATTAAAAAGCTCCGCGGTGGAATTTAAATTACTCGTTGCTCGGCTGCTCGCGTAATCGTAACGGTTGTATAAATAACGGCGAGTAAAAAATTAGCCCCGAGATAATATCTGAGGGGCGTCTACGCGCAGCGTGAAGTCGCGATAGTCGACGAAATTCGTGGAACGAGCTGTACAGCTCTGACAGGCGCCGTGTTACGATCGATTAAACGAACAGCCCAGACGGAGGGTTATAACGACGCCGTTGCATTAATTAATTCTCGGTGATCTCAATTAAAATATTAATTACAGGAGAAACAATGACTCGCTGACGGATCCAGGCACCGATGAGGATAGATCTGTGTCTTGCCTCTATTCTCTCTCCTTTTCTGCCTATCCTTCTATACCGGCGCGTCTCGTCCCGGTTCTCTCCATCTCTCGAGCTGGCAACGATGAATCAGAGGAGCGATCGTAGCGATGCTATTACGATTACCGCCCGTCTGTAAGCTTATCTGATAACCACCCCATTACAGTGGTGGTTCTCGCGGCATCGGCGAGACTCGTTCGTCCGTCCGATGTCTTGCGTTCGTCGTCGCGCCAACACGGAACACAAGGACCATTTGCATATTTCCGAACGGAGATACGCCGAGGGAAACAAGTGTCCCCTGTCGGCGAATCTCGTCGAGCGTCGAGGATCGTTGGAAAATCAATAAAACCTACCGAGAGTGACAAGGATCTTAACGTCCCGGTTCTTCTTTTTAAACCGGTGCATCGGCGAGAGGTGTTCCACTTATCAGAAACCGAGTGAGCGTTCCGAACGTCCCAACGCGGACAAGTTTCTGGACAAGTTGTCGTTGGTTCGTAATCTCTCGGCGAGATCTCTCGTACGTCGCGAGCCGAACGGCCTGTCAGAAGCCAATCGAATTCGTTCGCGGGGCCCCGCGTTCGCGCGATTATTGTTAAACAGACCGGGCAATAACAACCGCTTATTGAAAATACGATTGTCGAATCACTGATGGAGGATAACGTTGGAGGGCACGTCCATATAATAAAGACTATCCTCTCTCTCCCCCCTCGCCATCCATCGTGTGGACCGATGCATTTGCACGACGGACAACTCTCTGCCGGGAGAGTGAAAGAGAGAGAGAGAGAGAGAGAGAGAGAGAGAGAGAGAGAGAGAGAGAGAGCACACGAAAGCTGGGAACGTAGCTGGCTGCACCACCTGACGCGACGGGGGGTCAGCGGTTCTCATTCGTCCTGCGATTCATTCTGCGAGGGAAAGACGAGCGAAGACGCGAGGAGGAAATATCGCTCGATGACACGCGTTACGACGAAGAGATTGTCAGAGACTCGAAACGACCGAGGCGAATTTGCATACTGCGAGAGGAGCATTGCGAGACCGCGCTGGGATTAGCCCGCGAAATTAAATTAAGCGTGGAATGCGCGCGCTATGCCGGTCAGGCTTCTTCTTAAGCCCTCGCGACCAGCACCTTTCGAATCGCCCTCTCGAATCACGATTTCACTTAAGGACACGCGAGGCGGTTGGTGTCAATCGATAGAGATATATCGGACCTGGCTAATGATGACTCGGCCGAATTCGGCCCGAGTTCCCCGCCCGTTCTCCTCCCCTTCCCTTCGTTCAAAGTAATTTACGAGGAGTCACCATTGATTCGGATACGAGTGTCGATGTGAGCACCTCGAACGGACGACGCAGCCGTGACGAGTGAAAATACAAACAGTTTAACAGGGATGAGTAGTCGTTTAGCGTTCTCGGAGATCAGCGAGCCTCCGCTCCTCGCTGCCTCCTCTTCCTTCTTCGCCTTCGTTTTCTTTCTCGGTTCAATCGTCTCAATCTTCCGTCTCTTCCCAGCGAGGCTTCCTTTCGAGTTCGCCTCGCGGACCTAGGTGTGGTCGTTCGTTGCGAAAAGTGTCGCATAAATCGAGAGAGGATCACGGTTCAACCAGTTGCTTGCAAGACTGTACCCCACTCGCAAGAAAAGTTGCCAGCAATTACTTTCATTTACAAAGAAATCTGAAGAGCAACGGTGAAATCTGTATCGAAGCGTCGCTCGAAGGAAATTACATTCCCCTGTCGTGGAACGATTTAGAAGGCAGACAGACGATCGCTTTGAGACATTTATCGAAGCATTAGCCCTCTCCCAGTTTCGCGATCCTGACGGAGGACACGCTTCGTCTCTATCAGCAAACAGAGATGAAGTTAGCCGTAGGCTGGCTGAAACGTTTGCCCACGGTCCGGTGGTGGTCGACAGGGATTGCGTAAGTTGGTCCAGCCTCCTGCAGTCTTGCGTCAGAGAATCAATTATTGGATCCGTATATCAATCTGATGGACCGAGGCACGTTCGTGGTGCGCGCGGCTCCCTGCTGCTTTTACGCATTTTCTTCTCCCCGAGCTCCTTACGTTCGTAAGAGAAAGACGAAGCAAAAGAGAGAGAGAGAGAGAGAGAGGAGGTATATGGTCCTGCAGGACCATATAGAGCGATCGCGCGCGCCGACGACCGGTTCCCTCGTGGTGTGTTTCACGGCGATCCACGGCGTTCGGCCCATCGCGCGTGACGTACCGCGTAACGTTGATTTCTCGAGCGACTGACTGATTTTCTTCTTTTCCCCGCAGGGCGCCGACGAGGATGACAGCGCTTCCGTTGCCTCGGTAAGTTTATCGTTGCATCGTCTTCCGTGGATCGTGATTATCGTACGCGAGGCCAACTCGAGCGAGAATTTGGACCGTGTTCTGCTCGAAAAGAGAGAGACGTAATATGGAGAGAGAAAGAGAGGAAGGATACGTTCGGTTCGAATGATAAACGCACGCGATCTCTGTATCGAGATCTTAATTAAAATTTCCCCCTTCTAATCGCGCCGTGGATCTCTCTTCGACGCGGTCCCGTTCGTGTTGGCCGTTATCGCTCGCCAGCTCGATATCGCGAGTAACCCCTGTTAATTGAGGCAATTATTGCTTTGGGAAGTAGCAACTGGACGGGAAGTCACGGGAGTGGTTGGTCAGAGCGGCGCAAGGGGATTATCAGGCATTGGCGAAATTGGCTGCGGAAGAACCTCGCCTCACCCGACTCAAGGTATGTCAAATTTACTTACGCTGTTTAATTCGAGCATATTTTCCCCCTTTTTTTTCTTGATATTTGATCGTTCGTAACGTCGTACCAAGATACAGGCTGTTTTGTAAAGTCGTCTCTTGTAAATTTCTTCCAACTTACTCGAAGCGATTCTACCACGGTTTCTCCGGGTCAGCCGGAGTTTCGATCGCGTGTACGACGATCGGTTAAAAAAAAATTGTAGATTCGCGAGCAATTTGTTGGGGCGGTGTGTTTACGGTGTTCACGTAGAGAAAGGGGCGCGCCGGTCCGCGCAATGGATCTCATTGAATTACGGCCAGGCCGCCTCGGGTGATAATGACAAAGGTGGCGGGCCAGAGGTTCGGAAATATAATTACGGTGTGGCTTACCGTAGGCCTGGGATCAGGCCGTTATTACACGCACGGCAGAACTTAACACCTGCGGCGTTGTAAATTCGCCGTTTTCGCGCGCCACCATTGACAGGTCAATAAATCTAAGAGCCCTCGTGGCAATCAGGCAGCCGGTGTATACCAAACCGCCAATATGTGGAGCGGATCACCAATGTCCGATAGGGAACGAGTTAAGGATTACTCACACTATCGATTCCAATTATCCAATACCGTACGCGCAGTCGTTCAGAATCAAAGACACCACGAGTGGGTGAGAAGAGTGAGCAAAGTATTTAGTTTGTGCCTCGCGGTCTCGCAAACTTTCTACTCTCTCTCCTCCCTGGAGAACAGAAAATTCAGCATGTACCAGCTCGGGGAGCGAAAAGCATCGAGCATGGAAACCGTGTCAATCGCATTCTACGCGTCCGCGCTTTCTTCGAAACGGTTAATTAAGCTAAAACGACTATCGTGTACGAAGTCGTGGTCGTGGATGATCGTGGCGGCACTAGACCTAAAGCGATAAAAACTATTCACCGCGAGACGTTGTCGTTCCTGTTAACAAGCGTCGTTTTCTGGCCTGAATAGTTTGAACCGGCCTTAACGGCCGTTCACGGCCAAGCGTCGATGGAAAAGGCGGAGAAGAAGGAAGGAAGGAAGGAATGGAGGAAGGAAGAGGAAGAAACAAGGGGATGAAACGGTTGGAAAGGTGGGGGTGTAGCACGAGATGGCCTGGTAGAGGTGGTGGTCTGCGAAAGGGGTGGAGGCGGCTGAACCGCACAGGGGCTGCGTGTTGAATTCATTCCGCTGGACAAGGTTGCCTCATACCCCGGTCCAGGCCCGACGTTCGCCTCATCCCTTGGGATAAATTGGTCGAACCCGCGTGTTTGCGGATAACATCGCCGCGATATACGCCCGCCTATGGCCGCCGTACGAACGTAACCATACACACGGCTCCCTTTTTGCGACGAGTCTCTCGCACTCGCGGAAATTGGCAACCAACTCTGGCCTCTCTGTTGTCTTTTTCGCGTCTCTGCTCTCGTTCTCTCTCCTTCTCTTTTTCTGCGCGGCATCGTACACGCGCCCCGTCCATCACGCGGCCCCCGCCATCGCTTTTCCATGGCTTTCGCGAATCCACCACCACCCGCGAACGAAGCGCGGAAAAATGTTTTTCCTGCTGAAGATCGTACCTTCGTCTCGCGTTTTCCCCAATTCCAAATTTACATGTCCTTCGAAAATCGCGTCGTTCCTTTGTACTCTTTTATTAATAGAATGTTTGTTTCCTCGACGTTTGATTAATATAAAAATTTGTTCTCGAATGGGCGCTCGAATGATCGTCACGTGGATGTGTACGTACGTATGTATGTATGCATGTGTATATATATATATATATATGAATATGAATATGAATATGCAACGATCAAGCAAGGAGCGAATGCGAGAGCGATAGGATGCGGGAGACAAAGTGAAGCAAACGATATGGGGAGTGACGTTTGTGGGTGGAAAGGGGAACGTCGGTAGGCATTCCAATTACTCCCCCCTCTGGTAATTAAATCAACACGGAAGCTAATCAACGTCGGCACCGTGCTCCAACCGTTTCTCTCCCCTTCCGTCGAATTTTTGCCCTGGCTAAATAAATCGGACGATTAGCCGATAACCGAACCGGGAAAATCGTGTCTCACGGTTCGTCGCGGCGCGAAGATGTCGGTGAATAATCGAGAGGGGGCCGATGCCTTGTTAAAATTAACTCGTATCCTTCGCGCGCGGTTACGTTTCGTGTGTACAAATTTCAACCGGGACCGAGTCGCGTGTTTCGACTACGGCCGATAAAAAAAATTCAACGCGACCGCTCGACCGACCTGTATTCTCGTCGAGTCATCCGTGGCGAGTCATCGATCGGCGATTGGATCGAGCGTCGTCGATCGTTCGTTTCGATTGTTCTCGCGCTTATTCGATCGCGCGATTGTGTTCACCAACTACCGTAGCTTTCTTTCTTTTCTCGCGGTTGGTTTACGGGCCCGTATATTAAAGAGTCGTTTGTACACGCACACGTGGCACCCTACGTGATCTACGTGGCCATCGAGCGTCGTCGTAGTCGGCCATTGTATTTCGCTGGGTCAGGTGTGCGTCGCCGTCCGGGTACCGTGTGCCCATTATACTTTATTAACGGACGCGTCTGGCATCGCGATAGATTCGCCCGTTCGATTTCTGCGTCCCCCCACAATGCAGGACGGCTGCAGGTCGATCTGACACGACGCTTCACTCTGCTGCTCCGTTTATACCCGATTCCGTGGAATCGTTAGCGTTTTCGTTTTTGCCGCATTTCGACAGGTGCAACGTGCTAACCCGTTCGCCATTCACGTCTCCTTAAATATCGTCGCTCGTTTCGCTTTCCACGTTTCTCAACTTTCAAATTCGCAGAGGCGCGCGCAAGGTGGAAGCGAAGAAAGTCGGCGTGGAAAACGAACGAACGAGGAAAAATTCGAGCGAAAAAGCTGAGTTAGGAACGATCGGAACGCTTATATTATTATTCGTCGGCGAATAAGCGGACGCGCGGCTTCAACATATCCGTCTGTATCCGTATTTATCAGCTGGTATCGGTTGGTTTAATAACGCCAGGCAATCAGAAGGTGTTCCCTCGTATCTGCTCGTGCATTCGCTGCCCCCACGCCTCCGCCGGTCGATAAATAATAACCATTTGTATCGGATTCTAATTACTCGCTCTAAGCAAACAAATAAACGGCAGGTCGGGAAGACTGTGGGCACCGTGAGAGGCAAGCTTAATGTTATGGTGGCTGCAGGCTGATTTAAGGAGTGTGGGACCGCCCACCTCGAAGATGCATCTCCAGCCTCGGCCATCGGTCCACCTGTTATGAGTGTTTCAACGCCACTGTGCGTTCTTTCTTTTTCTTTTTTTTTTTTTTCTTTTTACGGAGCTCGTCGCTCCCTTCGAGATACCTGTTGCCAATACAGGCCGAGAGAAGCACGTACGGAAACACGTACGTGGCGTAATTAAATTGCCAGGAACCGCGATCGTCGAACTCGTCGATTCTCATCAGCAGAGAATGCTGATAAAGGGGGTGAGAGAGAGAGAGGTAGAAGAAGAGAGACTAATCATTGGACAAACGACATCGTTTAATCCTGTCTTGTGCAAAACTGTCCACTACTGTCGCGACGTGTATACATACATGCAATCAGGCGTTCTACGGTTGAACATTGCATTGACCGATACTGACGCGCGCGCTCGCTCGCGAGAACCCACGGTATATCATCGGTGGAGGAGAGAAACACGCGGCAAGGAATTCGTTTCCAGAGGCAAGAGCGATCCTTTTTCTCAACGACTCGAACCGGAATGATCGATAAGAGACCCTCTCGGTGGTGTGAGAGGAGAGACGCGTTCATTTTCGCTTAAAAGGTCGTCGAGAAATACCGTCGACGGTAGTTCGTTACCGGTGGGCTATTAGCGGGCGTAACGCACGTCCTGGCAGCGTCGCAGAACTAAGTAAACCCTGGCTAACAAGGAGGCGTATCCAACGGCCACGAATGATCTATCGATCCAGAATTGGCATTATTTCGTTCTCCGTTTCTCTCTCGGAGCCCGGTCCCGGTAAGATATTACTCTCTTTTCCTCTTCGGGCCTCTACCTTTCCTACCTTTCCTACCCTCGCGACCGACCTTTCTTCTTCTCGTTACGACCGAAGAACGCGTACCAAGGCGCTTCCACAGAGACAGAGACAACGTATATATATCTACCTGCTGCACCACCTACCTACCTACCTACCTACCTACCTACCTACGCCCCCGAATATTAACAATTTGATTTATGCGTGTAATTATCTCTAGTTATTTTCTCAGGCAGGCGCAGCACAGCGCACGGTTCGTTCGTAGCTGCCGGTGCTGCTGCCGCTGATACACAACAAATTAACCGTTCCTTCTTCCGCCTCTTCTTATCCCGCACGTTGGCTCGTCCCTTGCACTCTCTGTCCCTGCAAACTGGCTATTCTCTTTCTGTTTTCCAACTGGAACCTCGCGCAGAACGAGAACCTCTATTTATAGGCGTCTCGTTTCACTCGGCAAACTTGCGTTCTTATTACATTGGAGGATGGTTCGCGAGCAGACGAAGAGATACGCAGAGGCATACGTAGACGCGGTACTAGCGCGAAAACGTAGGCCGAGAATGAGGGCCAAGAGCCTGGTCGTCCAGCTCGAATTCAGCTCGCGGTGATCATTTATCCTCCGGCGGAGGCTCGCCAAACGACCTGTCGCCCCTTTGTGCGTCCTGCGCTTTGAAGCTTCGTGGCGAAATATATTTTCAGCCGCGCTCGGTGCGCCCGAACGATTATTACGTACGCTCGGTCTGTCAGTAATTAGGGCGGGATCGTTTGGCTGCCTTCCGAATTAGTCTTGCCTTGGTTATCGTTTGAAACGCCTATTAGTCAGATTCGGAACAAGAGTCTTCGGCTCTTGAAGTCTTTCGCTCATTCCTTCGCTTGTTTTGTTCCAGCTCTGGAACGTCGTAGATCAAGCGAGAGAAAGTCGACCGCTGTCGAACAGGAAGTCGGCTGGGACCGCGATAGCCGATCAGTCAGGGAGAGATTTCACGAAGCCAGAGGACCA